GAGAGAGGAAGAAAGAAAAAGAAAAAGGAAGAACCTGACACACAGTAGGCACCAAAAAGCTCTCTCCCTTCCCAGGTTCTTTGGAGCACACCAATCCTGCCTATCGGCCATGGCACTTTCAGTCCTCTGAACCACTTTATATAGGGGACTCCAAATCAGCCATCCCTATTTTACAGATATGGAAAGAGGGGAAACAATTTGCCTGAGGTCACAGAGCTTCCATGGGACACAAAAAGGCCTGGACATTTCTCTGATTTCAGAGACTGTGTTCTTTTTCAGGGACAAGTGGTCAGGGTGGAGACTAGGGCAGTAGTCCTCAACTGGGAGTGATCTTGCCTATCAAGAGACACCTGCCAACGCCAGGAGACATTGGATGGAGGTTACCCTGTGGGGTGTGCTCCTGGCATCTAGTGGGTATTTGCCAGGAATGCTGCTAAACATCCCATGAGGCACTGATAGCCCCAAGTAACAGAACTATCTCATTCAAAATTCCCATGGTGTCAAGGTCAAGAAACTGTGGGCTATGGAGCTGTTGGTGCCTAGAAGGATGGTATGGGCTTGGCTGCAGCTGTCCTGGGAGGAGGGAAAGCTCTGGCATAGGCTGCCCTCTGACCTCTGACTGCCCTGTGGGACCTGCCCAAAGAAACATGACTATTGAGTAGTGACTAGATAGTGGTACAAGCCCACATTTCTAAGGAAGGCTGCTTTGGGCATATAGAGGGGCTCTATCCCTCATCTCCAACTTCAGGGCTCCAGAGGCACCTGGGGGAACCCAGGGTTCCATAAACCCAGGCCTTTGGGAAAGGCAAAGAGGATGAAGTTCACACTGGACTATGAGTTCTCCATGACCCGGCCCTGCCCTCACCCTCAACTCTGACATCACATTCTCAAATATGGCTCCAATGGGCTATGGGCTTGTCTCCCATGGCTGTGTTTTCTTGCCTCTTTGCCTGGTCTGTGCTGCTCCCTCTGCCTGGGAGTCCTCCCTAACAGCTGCTGCTTCCAGGGCTGCCTCTGGGTTAAGTGCCCAACCCAGGCTCCACAGCCCCTCTGCTTCCTCCTTTCATTGAGCTCATCCCATGGAACTGCAATTACTCTTTGCAACTCTTTGGGGACAATGTTTTATTCATCATCATGTCCCCAGTGCACAGAGCAAGGCCTGGCACAGGGCAGGTACCACAAATGTAGTGGTGATACAGCTAAAAGAGCTGGGGCTCTAGAATCAGTGAAGGAAGGGCCAGCTCCAGCCCCTTTAGGCATCTGTGGGGTATCCAAGTGGGAAGAGGGGAGACAGAAAAACCCCAAGATCAGGCACAAGTCAGAGTGAGAAGGACCCTCAGATAGCCTCTAGTTCAATCTGCCCATTCCACAGATGGGAAACTGAGGTCCAGAGAAGGGAAGCAATTTGGCCAAGATCACACATGGGTTCTGTGGCAGAACTAGTACGCATCCCAAGGTTCCTGCAAGTGTCTCTTCTGGCACACTGGGTCCATGCCCCAGACTTGGCAAAGGCATCCCCAGGTAGGCAAGAGGCTCATTAGATCCAAGGCAGACAGCAGGCGGCAGGCACATGCACCTTGTCCTTGGCTCATCCTGTCCCCCTCTCCAGCCCCAGAAGTGAGGGGGCAAGGAGGAGTGAGGACAGGAGGAGCAGGCGAGGGGGTACCTCGGTCTCCAGCTGGCGTGGATCCGAAAGAAACTCCGTTTATTACTAAACATCTGGCTGGAAAGTTGAGAACAAGACACAAACAGAGGTTAGTGACAAAGGGGCAGGTGGGTAGAGCATAGGGAGCTGCCAGGATGGGACCAGCCTTCTGTGGCTGGTAGGAGAAAAAGATCCCCACCCAAGTCACCCTCTAGCCCCATCCCCAGAACACAGAAGCTCTCGAGCTTTGCATAAGGATCTCCTGAGAGCATGTTGAACTGCAGAACTCCGGGCCTCTTCTCCAGAGTCAGACTCTGAGAGCCTGGAGAGAGATCCAGGTGTTTGCATTCTGAACACACACCCCATGGGATGCTGATGCAGGCAATCAGGAGACTGTGCTTTGAGAAATTCATCACAAAACCCTAAGAGAGGAGATGCTGGCCTCCAGTACCCAGGAAATTCCTGCTCCTTGGAGCTTGACTTCCTGGGAACATGCTCGGTGTGGCCCATCCCCAAGCACCACTGGGAATGTGGTCAACCATATGGGCTGTGTGTGGGTGTGTGTGTGTGGGTATGTGTGGGTGTGTTTGGGGAATGTCCTGGTAGGAGTACCCACCCACAGGGCCCAGGAAGTCAAAATTAAAGAGACTGCTACTTGTCTTAGCCTAGTGACAAATCTAGAATTCCCATCTCAGCCCCCTGGGGTCCCTTGGAAAAAGGGACACTTGACCACCGTCACCACAAGTCCCAGACATGCAGACACTCCAGGACAGATGGGCAGAGGTAGAGTTTGTGGCGGCCAAGCCCTCAGCAGTAATCTGTTCCTAGGCTCAGGGAGCTCAGGGACTCGGGGACTGGAAGTGAGCCTGGAACCTGGAACCTGTGCCTTCCTAGTCAGTGTGGGAGACCAGGGTGAACTGGTGCAGGGTCCTGCACAAGGTAGCTGGAACACTAAACCTTTTAAGTTTCTACCTATACATCAGAGTTTGGCAGGGATGGGGAGAACACTGAAGGGCCTTCAGGCAGGGCTGGGGAATCCAAGTGAGGCCACATGATAGCCTTCTCTTCCAGGGAGCTTCCAATCTCCCTCGAGCTCCAGCCCTGGAGGGGTTCTCCCTCTTCACCCACCTCCTGTTCAGCCCTGGCCCAGAGTGTCCTCAATGAGGACAGGGAAGGGACGCTGCTCCCCACATTCTTTACACCAAAACACTCATCATCCCGTTCTCCAGACCTTTTCAGCCCAGGAACTCAGAGAATCCAAAGCTCCTGATCAGCCTAAATATCACTGATTTTCTGCTAGGGGCAGAGTGACTTGATGACTTTCTCAAGGACAAACAGCATCCAGTGACAGAGACAAGCTTCTACCATACCTTCTTCTGGGCGCTGAGGGGCTCACCTCTTCCCTGATGCCTTGTTCTAGGCCTGGGGCCCAGAATTACATGGAAGGCTCAAGGCCCAGATGTCCTCCTAGCTGGCTCAGGGACAATGTGTGATGATGAGGCAAAGCAACAAGGTAGGTGAAGGATGCTGGAGGCATGAGGGGGATTGAACCCTTGACCTCAAACTAAGCCCCTAAAGAAGCAGCCACTTTTTCCCATGCTATTAGTGGTTTCCCTTACCCCAATATGCCTGGAATTCCTCTATTAATGAACATTTGCATAGAATAAGCATGCTCTTTCTTGGTTCTTCTTTCAGGATGCAAAAGCTCCAGAGAGACAGGTCAAGGGGAAAGAGATGGCTGCAGGTAGCAAAGAGTACCTCAGTAAGGAAGAAGAGAATCCCAGGAGGACCCTGTGCACTAGCAAAGCTGCAGACAAGGTTGCATAGACAAGGCATTATTTGCTGGCTGAGTTTACGTAGGTCCTACAGCAGTCTTAGCCACAGAGCTCTTTTCCCAGCTGACATCTGGTTCCCAAGAGGGGAGTTCAGTGTCAAGCCCTCCTAGAGTGACATGCTGGGGGAAGGGGTTCCCTGCCCTCACACCCCAGAATGGTGCCCGCGATTACCTGAGCCGTAAGCACCTGGGGCCAGCGGCCTCCTCCTCTCTCCAGCTTCCCGGGAGGGATGGGGGTGCAAGGATGGAAGAGTGAGGGAGACGAGGAAACAGAGAAAGAAGAGGACAATGGCATGAATGGAGGAGGTGACAGGAAAGGATGGTACGGATATCTTCTCTCCCTCTCAGACCCTTGGAGTCGCAGGTGATAAAAAAGATGAGTCCAGCCTGGCCTCTTCAGAGAGGCCCTCAGTCTGTACCTGTCTTGACAACATGACAATCATGAGGCCCAGGAGACCCCAAAACAGGCCCAGACACCACATGGTGGCTGAAGGCAGGTCTGAGAGAGGGTGAGACAGAAAATGGAAGAAGAGGAAGAGAAGCAAGAGGAGGTGGCGGCCCCATGGGGCCCCTACCTTTCCCCAGGGCAGAAGGAGGCACTGCCCGGCCGGTGGCAGGTGGCAATGGGAGGGTAGCGGGAGGGCGCTCCATCAGGTACCGGCGCCCGCCGCACCTCCAGGGGCCGTAGGCCCCCATTTCGGGCCCGTTGAACGTGCTCAAACAAGAGGGCCAGCTCTCTGCAGGAGAGGGCGCCATCAGCCACAGACAGGGCCCTGGCATCAGCCCCCTCCCCCCTTAACCCAGTGGGTACTAAGCTCCTAAGCTCAGATCCTGCCAGGTCTTGATCCACCTTCTAGGGGTGCTCACAAACACCCCAGGCCAAAACAGATGGAGGTGGAGGGTAGGAGAGACTGCCTTTCTTCCTCCCTTTCTAAATGCTAGTTCCTAGGAAATTTTCAAGGATGCCAAATATGGTTGTGCAGGTTGGGCACAATTCAAGAGCACCTGCATGAGGCAGTAAGTGGGAGGTCAAATCCAGTTGACAGCTTATCAGGCCAACTGCCTGGATATAGAGTTATGCCCCCAAGAAGGGTAGCAGCAACCCAGAATTCCTCAGTCTCCCAATCCAACTCTGGATTGTAGCAGGGAGACTAAGGCTGAGGATGAAGATCTGGTAGGGTAACTAGCCCAGCTTCCCTCCCCTGTGGCATCCACTCCTGCTGCAGGATTCTTGGAGATTGATTTGGGATTGTAGCTGCTCTCTAACTCTCCGAGCATTTCCTATTGTCATAGCCAGGTACCCCCCAACCCCACCTGCCTTCCCACTGTATGGGTGGGAAAGCTGAGGTCCAGGGAGCAGAAGGCACAGTGGACCCAGGATCTCCAGACCAAGCACTGTTCCTTTTCCCAGGGGACCCAGACCATCCCACTCCAAGTCTTCCCTCCCTCACATCAGTTTCTAATTGTCCAGCCCCTGCCCCTCTTCCCTGCATGTGTCCTCAGGTCTGCTCCTGGCAAAGGAGGCTTCTTATCTAGCCACCATCTCTGTCTCCGAGGTGGGAGCTTGCCTCTGCCAGGTGGGGAGAAGGGGTGGAAGGCAGAGTGATGTGGGGAGCCTTTTCCAGTCCCTTTCTCCTGCTTTTCCCCTGGGAAGCCCATGGGGTGGGGAGGAAGCAGGAGGGGACCAGGTGCAGGCCAGTGGGATCACACAACAGCTACTCTTAGAGAACTAATGAGGCAAAGGAGTGCAGAAGCGCTGAGCACAGCAGCCCGGCCCAGCTGCACACTCCTGCATACCCGCCTGCCTGCAGGACTGAACCAATTGAGCAGGCTCTGCAGTCTTCATTCCTGCCCCAGGGCTTGGCCAGACACCTGGCCACATGTACCTTGGTGATGCTATTAATAACCCCCTGCATGGACCGCCCCCATGCAGCCTTGGCCTGGTGGGGAGTCAGTGGGGCAGGCTCACTTCTGGCCACTGAAGCTGCTGCCTGGCAGCAGCGGGATCATAATCATGCATGGGCTGGCCCATTCCACACGAAGCAACCAGCTGCAGTCCACCAGGCTGGTAAGGACTAACAGTGCTCCCACTCATGACTGAGGGGAGATGAGCTGCCTGTGACACTGCCTTGAGTGGCATCACCTGTGGGTAAGCATGTGACCTGCCAACCTTCCAGGAGTTGGAGCTCCTGGCGCAGTGCCCTGTGTTCACAGGCACGACAGGGTCAGGGACAGAAACTACCAAGGTTCTGAATGATATGGGACCAGCCCAGGATGCTCCCTTGGGGGCTGTCACCCCTCCCCACCCTCAGGGCTGAGACCCAGTTGCTTGTGCTCACCCGCCCACTCCCACCTCAGCAGGACCTACCTGAAGGATGGGAGGATGCTGTCATAGTAGTACCAAGTGGCTGTCAAGTAGGCCCGGCTTGAATCAGTGGAGTATAGGCGCCATGCGGCCTGGGGTATGGGGACATGGAAGGAAGGGGGCATCAGAGAAGCTCTAAGTCCCCACCAGCCCTCTGCCCCTGAGGGAACCAAGTCCTTGGCCAGCTAAGGATTATGTAGAGCCAGAGGCCAGTTCTAGCTCCATAGCCATAGCCAAGATACCAAGGCCTAGAGAGAAATGACTTCCCCAAGGTGACACAGCAGATCAACACCAGAGCCAAGAGCCTTGGGGCACCACGGTAACAGCTGGGGGTTTATTATTAGGTGGCACAGCTTTTCTTCTTTTTTTTTTTTTTTGGTGGGACTGGGGTTTGAACTCAGGGCTTCAAGCTTGTAAAGCAGGCACTCTACTTCTTGAGCCACACCTCCAGTTCATTTTTGCTCTGATTATTTTGGAGATTTTGGGGAGGGGGGGTCTCTCCAACTATTTGCCCAGGTTGGTTTCGAACCTCAATCTTCCTGTTCTCAGCCTCCCAAGTAGCTAGGATTTCAGGCGTGAGCCACCTGTGCCCAACTGGGCACAGGCTTTCAATCCCAGCTCTGAAGAATGACCAGACTAAGGAACCTCTTTTTTAGATAGATTTTTTTCTAATTTTTATTATTATTTTTTAGTGAGACAGGGTCTTGCTATGTAGCCCAACTAGCCTTGAACTCTCCATCCTCCTACTTCAGCCTCCTGAGTTCTGGGATTATAGGCATGTAGCACCACACCTGGCCAGAACCTTCTTCACCTGCAGAATGGATTGGATACTGCTTATCTAACAGGGTGTTGTAAGGAATAAATGGGCAAATGTCTATCCAGTGCCAAGGTCAGTGCTGGCACATAGTAGGCACTTAATGCCAGTGCCCCTGTTAAACACTCGTGTTACTTCCATTATCACATCTGATAAATATCCACTCACTGTGTGTCTGGTTAATGTCTTTCTCCCCTTACACCTTAAGCTACATCTTGGTCACTTAAGGTGCCACGTACTGTGTCTGGCACATGCAGGTGTTCTGCAGATGTTTGGAAAGTGAATGCTGACTGAGTGAATTATTATTACTAAATTCCACTCCATCTTTCTCAGCTGCCTGTTGCTGCCTATGGACTACTAGGGACTGACGAGAGGAGGAAAGCTCACTGTCCAACTCCTCAGCATCCATGGACTTGCAGGGCTTCCTCTGCAGCAGAAGGAATGACGGTCCTTCTCCCTCCAGGTAAGGAAGAGCCAGGGAGGGACCATGAGCAGACTGATGAGCCAGAGCAAGGAGACATAGTAGCTACTAGGCAGGACAAAGCAGAACTGGGCTCTGGATGCCCCCCTTCTTTGGGTGCCTCTTGTCCTTAAGGGGCTGCCACCGCTGACCTCACCAGCCAGGCGCCTTCCCAAGACAGAAATATTTTTACTTCCTGCTTGCCTAGGTCCCTGGCATGGACTGGGGAGCAGCTGCCAGGTCTCATTAATTATGGGCACCATAATACCAGCTGTCTCTCGGCATGGACAGTGCCAGCCGCCTGCCTCTACACCGCCCCTCAGAAGGCCAGCTCCCAGGGGACAATGGTCATTGTGCCCCAAGGGAGGCTAAGAAGAAAAGGCTGGGCTGGTGGCTGGAGATAGCAGGGATGGGGAGGAGGGTTCCATTCTCTCCTGGGAAGGAGAGATTAGGAAAGACTGAGTCAGGCCTAAGTTTGGGGTCAGAGGATGGCATGCTGGGGAGCAGGCAGAGGTGGGGCTGTGACAATATCCCCCAAAGCATTTCCTACAAGGAATTCTCTTGCATATGCCCCTGACTGAAGAATAACCAAGGTCTCGTGACAGGGTTACAGAAAATCAGGTCCCTCGCCTCAACCCACCAGCACACAGATCATCCGTAAACCTAAGGGAAATTGAGACCATATGGTTCCTGGCTTTCCACCCCCTCCTCTGGCTGCTCCTTCACTGGCTCCTTTCCCACTTGGCCACTAAATATTGAAGTTCCTAAAAGCCCAGTTCTGGACCATCTTCTCTGCATTTGTGTGACTGCCTGAGGAATTTATGAAGGAATCAAGGTGCTGGGAGTGGAGTGGGCTGACTGACAGCTGCACAGCTGAAGGATGGCATAGCTGGATCTCCACCATAGGCTGGGAGCCTCCTGTCCAGGTTCCATCCACCCCAGGCCATGGATTGCTGTGACCAGAGTTGGCAATGGAGTAGCTCTGGTGAGCCCCAAACAGAGCATTTGATGCAGGGGAAAGTTTCTGAAATCTCAGGCAGCATCCTGGTTTTGTCTGTGATTTGGCATGTGACCCTAGAAAAGTCACATCCCTCTCTGAGCTTCAACGTGGAGTCCTACTTATGTGACTGGGACGCATATGTCTGCACACAGGGCTGACTGACAGGTCAGTCTGGGGGTCGTGTACCTGGATGAGGTTGGCTGCTGGCATCCTCCGCTTCTCAAAGTGCTTCTGCCGGTGCTGCTCTTGTACCTTCAGGGCGAAGCCAGAGCCAAGGATGCCCTAGGGAGACAAATGGTTGAGGGAATGTGAGAAGGGGGTCAAGAGGCTGTGAGCGTGTCTCCATTCCTGCCCATCCAGGGCACCCCAGGCTTCCCAGGCAAATTTGTGACAGGGGCTGAGCAAGTCTTTCCCCCAGCCTCCCTCACCAACCCAGCAGAGGGGAACTCACAGCAGGCAGGGCAAAGAAGGAGATGCCCAGTAAGGCGAAGCCAGCAGCCAGGACCCTGCCCAGCCATGTATGTGGCGTTTTGTCACCGTAGCCGATGGTTGTCAGTGTAATCTGGGGATGCAAATGAGTTACCCACAGGACTGGGCACAGGACCACCCACAAGAACTTGTTGGGCACAGGCAGGTAGGAGGCTGATAGCAAGAGAAGGGCTCCCCACTACCACTTCCGTGTTCACCTACAGAAGCTGACCATAAGGACTCATGCGGGAGCAGGAGGGGCAAGGATGGATTCCCCTCCTGTGCTGGTCACAAGGGCTTGAATGAAGGGCTATATGTGAGGGCAAAGCAGATACTCAGAACAGGACGGGGGTTGGCATGGTGGCTGGTCACAGGGGGTCCCTAGTGCCAGAAGACAGTGACAGGCCAACCCTGAGTGGAGGACAAACCTCAGGAAGTTTCCGGGGAGGGTCCCAGGGGTTAGGGCGGCCCTGCACAGACCCTCACGCACCGTCCCCCACCACAGCGAGTCGGCATAGGAGGAGAAATCCGAGTTGGCGTCCTTCTCAGCCAGATAGACGAGGAAGGAAGCGAAGATGAGCACCAGGAACCCGATGTACCAGGCGGTGATCAGCTCCTGGGGACAGGTGGGGTAGTATGAGGAGCCGTTCTCCCTGGAGAGGAGAGCGGCTCCCAGAACGGTCTATGGGCTGCGCCCTGAAAGGGAATTAAGTACTCCACATCTCCAGTCCCTGGCGATGGCTGTGCTCACTTTTCCTTTCTCAGCAACTAGACCCTGCCCCGCCTTCTCGGAAACCATCAGGGCCCTGGAGTTCCAGACTCAGGACTCCACCCACAGGCCCACCTTGTCCCGCCCTCTAAACCCTCCTTTCAGCCTTAAGATCCAAGTCCTCATCTAGTCCCTTCTCAGCCACACCCCAGCTCCCCACTTGGCGGTGCGAACAGGAGGCTTCCAGGTTAGACCGTCAAGCCTCATCTCTCAGACCCAGCCTCCTACTCAGGCCTAGACTACTAGACCCTTTCCCCACCCACAGGCCTGGCCTCCTGCTCTGGTCCCGCCCCGGCCCCGCCCCTTCCTGCCTCCCCGCCCCCTCTGGCCTCGCCCCCCACCTGGGCTCTGCCGCACACGCCCTCGGGTTAAGCGCGCGGTCTCTAGCCTCACCTTGCTGTGCGCGTAGACCACCGAGCCCAGCAGCTTCCAGGTGCCGCCGCGGCGGTCCATGCGCACCATCCGCAGAATCTGCAGGAAGCGCATGCTGCGCAACGCAGACGTGGCAAAGATGTTGCCTTGTGTGCCCGCGGCGATGACGGCCACCGAGGCCACGAACACGATGAAGTCTGCAGGGCGGGGTGATGAGGTCACCAGCCCACCACGCGTCAGGACCCGGGGCCGGGAAGGGGAGCCTCCTGGGACCGTGTGGAGCTGGCGGATTGGGAGAGTCCGCCGAGTCTGTCGGTAGCCAGGGACGGGGTCAGGGACGGGGTCAAGGTGCCAACCCTGGGACTTGGGGTCAAGAGTAAGGCCGACTGGGGAAGGCCTTGTACCGATGACACAGAAGGGTTTCCTGGCGAAGCGGAAGCGGCCTTGCCATCCTCGGTAGCGGCAGCAGCAGCCAGCAGACCAGACACGGATAATGTACTCCAGGCCAAAGACCACAATCATCACGAATTCCTGTGAGACCCGGGCCTGAGCTCTGGTTCCCACTCTTGGGGACCAGGACCCAGGTCAGACCCTGACCCAGTTAGTCCTGGATTAGGAGCACCAGCACTTCCTCAGATCCCTCCAGGAGGGATTTAGGGGAATTCCAGAAAGGCAGTGACCCCTTGCACATCCTCTAAGGAGACTAGAAATCCAAGCCTGTCCTCCCCTTTCTGCCCCATAAATTGCCTGGGTTTCTCCCCAAACTGACCTCCACCCCCAGGCCATCCCGGACTTCCCAGCTCTGACTTGGAGACATAAAGGGGAGGCTGCTGCTGGCAGTCTCACCCCCAAGGGGCTGGGGTTTAGCAGTTTTTATCCTGAAAAAGGGTGGAGCCTACTCACCTAGATTGCAAGGCAGGCGCTCTTACTGCGTGAGCCAGCCCTTTCTTGCCATGGGTTTTTTAGAGATAAGATCTCTGGAACTATTTGCCTGAGACTGGCTTTGAACTGCTATCCTCCTGATCTCTGCCTCCTGAGTGGCTAGGATTACAGGTTTAAGCCACCAGTGCCTGATTGGGCATATCTTTTTTAAAGTTGCATGTATTTCTTTTATTTTTCTTTTTTTGGTGGTACTAGGGTTTGAACTCAAGGCCTCACACTTGCTAGGCAGGCACTCTACACTTGAGCCATGCCACGAGCCCAACTTTATTTTTGTCTTCACACATTTTCATTAGTGCATATTAATTGTATAATGTGTGTGGGGGGGGGTCGTTGTAGTATTTCCATACATGCATATAATATACTTTGATTATATTCACCCCCTCTATTAACCTTTTCGTTACTGGGCCTATCATAATGGCC